GCCATGTGGGGCCAGATTGACACGGGGCAATCGCTAAGTAGATCAGGGCTCAGGCTCTCCTGTTTTGGGAGACATATAGGGACAGGGACCTATAACCAACACCAGCCGTAGCTGAATTCATTTAATGCTTCAGGTTGGGATGTACTGAGTGGCTTTTCTGGAAGTGGCCACCTACAGTTCCCCGTGGCCAGCTGATGTATGGAGGCTGGATTTTTGGGATGTCTAGGGAAAGCCAAAAGCAAAACCCAGAAGATAATTCTTTTTGTGGAGGAATTAACAGATACAGCACTGACCAATCAGAATAGCCACTGGCTGTACATTTCCCCATTATAACCGTATTCACTGCATTCCACAATTTTTTTAAACAATTTCCAAATATATGAAGTATTTTAAAAGTTATTTTTGTCATTGATTTCGGAGTTAAATTTCTTATGTTCAGAAAATGTGCTTCATGCAGTACTGTTCCATGATACATATTGACACTTACTGGACTTGGCCAGGCACGGTGGCTCAAGCCTATAATCCCAGCACTTTGGGAGGCTGAGATGGGTGGATCTGTACCAAAAATACAAAAATAGGCTGGGTGTGGTGGCACGCACCTGTAGTCCCAGCTACACAGGAGGCTCAGGTGGGAGAATCGCTTAAACCCTGGAGATGGAGGTTGCAGTGAGCCAAGACAGCACCACAAACTTCAGCCTGGGTGACAGAGACTCTGTCCACTCCCACTCCAAAAAAATTCTTTTTTTCTTTCCTGCTTTTGGATTGCTGTCACACACATGTAAAATGAAGCATAGAAAATCTATGTGTATTCACAATCAACTGGAAACTAATAACTTTTAGTTTCTGCTGCCAGTCCAAAAATGGAGATAAAGCACAGAGTGGTGGTTCTAAACTTGAACTTCACAGATGAACAAAATTTCCCCATAATGTTGGTTGCTGAGTGGGCAAAGTGGCTCAAGCCAGTAATCTCAGCTACTTGGGAAGCCAAGGCGAGTGGATTGCTTGAGCTCAGGAGTTTCAGGCTGCAGTGAGCTATGATCATGCCAGCACTCTCCACCCTAGGTAATAGAGCAAGATTCTGTCTCTAATAACATCAAAAAAGTTGGTTACTATTATAGGGTTGCCAGCTTTTCATTTTGCCAAGTTAGGAAATTCATAAAACAAATAGCTGTGAAAACTATCATCTGTCATTATAATTTTAAAAAAGAAAGGACATTTAAAAAAAACTTTTTTTGGCAAATGATAACTTATTACTATCGGGTTTTCACCATTAAAACTGACATTCTTGGTTTTTCCTCCTTGCTTTTGATAGGGCCAAAAGAGAGACACTGGTTACCTTAACAACTTTAAGATGGACTCCAGGAATATCACCAACAGCAGGATCTTTTCCACCAAATCCAGCAACCAGAACTTCATAGCTTTTTTTCAATAAAGTTCAAGCAACCATCATCAGGTACAAAGGCTGTGATTTTTCTTGCTGTTCTTGATCAGCTGGACCCTAGCAAACTTTCCAGTGGCAGAATTGGGCTGTTTGGCTCCAATCCCTACTTTTTCCAGCCCAATTCCCTTTGGATGAGAATCATCTCCAAAAGGGCTGGTCTTCAGGGCTGTGCCCAAATGGGCTTTCTTGTACCTTTTACCATGCCACTTCTGATCCAATCGGTGTCTATGGAGCTTCCAGGTGGTAGACAGTCCACAACACTTGCCTCTATTGCTGACTCCACAGGTCTGAGCAAAAGAGCAAAAACAAAAATTTAAACTATAGAAGAAATGACTCTAGGCTTGGCGTGGTGGCTCATGTCTGTAATCCAAGCATTTTGGGAGGCCGAGGTGGGTGGATCACCTGAGGTCTGGAGTTTGAGATCAGCCCGGCCAACACAGTGAAACCCTGTCTCTACTAAAAATACAAAAATTACCCAGGTGTGGTAGTGGGCACCTGTAATCCCAGCTACTTGGGAGGCTGAAGCAGGAGAATCACTTGAACCTAGGAGGTGGATGTTGCAGTGAGCCAAGATCACACCACTGGACTCCAGCCTGGGCGACAGAGTGAGACTCCATCTCAAAAATAAATAAATACATAAATAAAAGACCCTAAAGGTCATTTGGCAAACTTATTTATTTATTTACTTATTATACATACAATACACATATATGTATTTCACATTAAATATAAAATATGTATACACATAAACATATGCACATATAATTTCGGTATATGCATATTGATGTTTGCGTATCTTTTCATTTCACTGAACATCATTGAAAACTTCCACCTGCATCTAAACTGGAGTCCACTGATGAGAGAGGATGGCAGTGCAGAAAGAAAAACGATTCTGTGTGGAGGATACGGAGGGGGCCTGGGTCTTGGGCAACACAGAAAATGGCTTTTTAGACACAGCATTGACCAGGTGCCCTAGGTCGATGGTGGTGGAATTAGGGGGCTCTGTCCTCAGATATTTGGATCTGGATATGTCGGCATGAAAGTCCTTAAGTTGTAGGCAATTTTTAAAAAATATTTTTTATTTTTTATTTCCAAGCTGGAATATTACAGGCTTTAAGCTCCGTGTTTTGTCTGCATGTCTAATATGCCGGTAGAAACCTTTCAAAACAGCAAGGATTGAAGACTAATTTTGTAATACCGAACTTCCTTACTTAGATATCACATTCTGCCAAACTTCCTTACTTAGATATCACATTCTGCCGGACGTGATTGGACACATAAGAATTTTTTTTTTTTTTTTTTAGAGAGAGAGTCTTGCTCTGTCGTCAGGCGCCAGGCTGGAGTGCAGTGGCGCGATCTCGGCTCACTGCAACCTCCGCCTCCCAGGTTCAGGCAATTCTCCTGCCTCAACCTCCCGAGTAGCTGGGACTACAGGCGCGTGCCACCATGCCCAGCTAATTTTTGTATTTTTTAACAGAGACGGGGTTTCACCATGTTGGCCAGGATGGTCTCGATCTCTTGACATTGTGATCCGCCCGCCTCAGCCTCCCAAAGTGCTGGGATTACAGGAGTGAGCCACCGCGCCCGGCCTAAGAAAATATTTTTAATGTTCACGATAATAAGCTTATTATGAGTCAGCACTAAACGTGTGCACAGGCATACATCAATTGTCTACACAGGCAAAAAAAAAAAAAAAAACACCTCAAAGTCGTACTTCTCTAACCAAACCAACTGAACCCCCGAACCCACAGATAGCATCCATTTTGGATTCCCCAAACATCCTTTGTTCCTGCATCCTCTTCTGCTCTCCTTTTCTCAGCCTCTTCTGGTGAAAGCTCCAGATCCACGCAAGTGCTAGCGCGGAGAAAAGACCTGCCTCGCTCAGAGCGATGAGCGGCGCCCCGGAGCACAGAAAGCTGATTGTCTTACAGATTTCAACATCAGTCTGTTTTTTGGAAGACGTGCACTGAACATTTTCTCTTCAGTGAAGTAACTTGGCAGCAAAACCTGTCAACGCCCGTCTCTGTGGCGCAATCGGTTAGCGCGTTCGGCTGTTAACCGAAAGGTTGGTGGTTCGATCCCACCCAGGGACGGAGAGGATGCTTTTGTGAACCTCGGGCTTTTGAAACCGTGACCGAAAAACCACTTGCGTTGCTAAGTGCTAACCGCGGGGAACCTTGACAGCCGACCCCCGCGATGGGTGGTTCCTAGTGTCCTCTTCCGCTTTAGTGCAGCACGGGTAATTCCGACGTTTTTGGTTTTGCCGACTAGGGTTGCAGTTAGAACTTTTAGCTGCTTAGCTGCTGCAATTATGTTCTAAAACTGACAAAATTTACCGACCAAAGGAAGAAAATTACTAAAAATCTCAAAATGAATTGTTCATCTTTCCACCAAACCTGTGCCTGCCTTGCCTTCCTATTTCCTAACTCAGAAAACGGGCACTATGTGAGAAACCTGGTCCTTAGTCATGCGGCGTCCTACTGGCTGACAATTCTTGGAGAGTCAACGTCCTAAATACCTTGCTGATTAGGCACCTTCCTCTCCAGCCTCAACGCCGGTTACTTCCTCGTTGCTCCCTTTGGGTTACTGCATCTTACCTTGCCCCTAGATGGCTTCCTGTTTTCAACTCTCCCGACCCGTCCATCCTTCAAGTAGTTGCCAGAGAATCCTTCTAAAATACTATACAGTACAAACCTGATCTAATTAAACTCCCTCAAGTGTTGCACGGACTGAGACAATATCCTTAGTTTGGAAGGCAATGCCCTTTATGATCTGGCCCTGAAAACTCTTTCCTCTCCCTCACCGACGCTGTAAACAACAGAACCAAACTGCTTTCTTGAACTCACACTCTGGCTGTCGAATCTTTGCCCATGGACCTTGGCCCTTTCTCTTCTTTGCCTGGCAAACTCCTACTCATCCTTCATGACCACACCCCCCAAATCAAGCCTCTTTTCTGCAGCTCTTTCTTCACTCTCGTCCTATTTGTTTTTCTCATTAGAAATAAAGCTTCCCCAGGGAATGACCCTGTGTTGTTCATCTGATATCTTCAGCACCTGAACGCAAGCTTGCACATTGTCGGTAGTAAATAAATGTGACTTGAATGTCCAAGGTTTCCAAATGCACTTGTCTCATGTCTGAATCTTATCTAACATTTAATTTATGTGTGTACTCTAGCTCGAATCGTCGTGTATATAGCTCATAGTTCATACAGTCAGGCTGGCCCTCTACCTCTGCCCAGGCCTCTACCTACTACGTAGCTGTCTTCTCCTATCTGCCCTAATGCTCTAAAACTCTCTAATTCCTATTCACCCTCCTATCCCACACTTCCCGTAAGAAGCCCCCTTCACACAACTGTCTCAGCAAGCTGGCTAATTTTGGAAAGCAAGCTGGTTAATTCATATCAGTTGTGGTGAGATGGTTGCTGGGATGAGGGAGTGTTTTTCACCAATCCAAATCAATCTCTGTTACAGTCTTGGACTAAGGGAAGAAGAAAGGATTTTATCATTTATAATTTATTACCATGGTTTTCCTGTCTTCTGTCTAAGAGTGGCATGCAAGATCTTGTAATATGCTTTATTCTAACAGAGAAATGTTGCGCTTAAAACTTCCAAAACAGGAAGAGACAGCTTAAAGCTTTCTTTCATAAGCAACAATTGCCATCTCCATCCCCACCTCATTGGAACTGACATGATGAAGGATTTGAAAGTTTCATAATGTAACTCAGTGAAGCTCAGTAGTACATTTAGCATTGGTTATCCAACATTTGTTTAATAAATGAAATGAACAAAGCTACACCGCAATTATGTATTGAAGCAGAAAGGGTGGTTTTACAGTTTCTGCCCTTACCCTCTAATTCTTTCTACCCTGGCCAAAAAAAGCATTTTCACCTCCTTCGCTTTCCTTCCTGTGTGCTTGTGGGTGGCTCGCTCTTCTCGGGCTTTCGCACTCTGACCCTGACATCGTTCTGTTCATTTAGCTTAACTTGGGACAGTGACGCAAGGTTTGTTCTGTACTTTCTTTTCCACCCCACCCCACTACAATCCTCAGTCGCCTTCCTAGGACCATTTTCTGCTCCTGGCATTAAGAGGGCTCATCATTATAACTAGCAGATGGTTCAGTTCTGATAGATTCCCCTGGAAGACTCAATTCTACCTCACCCTTACGATTCCTCGTTAATTCCACAATGGCTAATGTTCTAGGAAGACAGCCTTGTCTATCTCTGGGTGCGTGGGGACACCTCCCTTAGTCTATCCTGGACTACCCTGCTCTTTCTCAGCCATCCTTTCATTGGTCCCACTGAATTCCCTGGATCCCCAGCAGCTCCCACACTCTATATGGCCCTGCCTCAACCGTTAATTCTACCTATTCATTTATTTAGGAATAATTATTTTTCATTTCTTCCCCCATAAACTGGGTAATTTATAATAGGAACAGTTTTTGTATGTTTCAACATTACCGTCCGTAGCCTGTATCGTTGCTTTACAGTGAGGGAATGGTTGGGATAGAAAAGGTGTGTAGCTCTGAAACTTCAATTCCTAGGGATGCAGCTACTCACTGGGGCTTCCCTGCTGGCACTTGAAGATCATGGGCCTTTCCCTTCCACTGGAGACCAAGGAAGAGTCGAAAGTTGGGTAAGGGACTTGGGCTCTGAGTTTTATGTTTCCTGCTGCTCGTGGAGAGGCCTAATGGGGATGATGGGGTTGCAAATCCAGAGAAAGGTTCAGAGAAGCTGCTGCCACTGCCCTTATTACCCCCATGGGATGGGAGTCATTTGTCTTGAGGGTCCTTGTTCCATTTAAATTTATGGTCCTTCCAGTCCCTTGTTGAGCTTCGAATGTTTCTCTTCACAGAGAAATACAGTCCTGTGTCCACTGCAAAAAGGAGTACCATCACCACGCAGAAAGAGACTTGGTACCCAGGTAGAAAGACTGGTGATGCGGATGACCCTATTAGGAGAAGTGGAGAGAGGAAAAAAAGACAGTCACCAAGGCAGATATTTGGAACAAAAAACGAGGTCACCAGCAGAGAGTCTGACAACTGCCAAGAGCCATGCGGTAAGAATGGTGGAGTAGTCTGGGGGAAAGTATTGCTTCCTCCCGTTAGCTCCTGATCTTAGTGCTATCTGAGCAGAGTACAGCTCACCAAACACTTAGTAAAGGCTTCTGCTTGCTTGACAGAGATGTGACGGAGAGCCTTAGCAAGTTAGGTTGTAAGCTGGGTTTTGTGTGACAGTCAGGAAATTGTCAGACAATGCTGTTGTCTAGAAACTGGGACACATTTGTTGATTTTGCATTTCCATTTTTTCAACTCTTGATTTTGATGTATTTTCAAATTAAAAAATGACCAGAGGCCAGGCGCGGTGGCTCACGCTTGTAATCCCAGCGCTTTGGGAAGCCGAGGCGGGCAGAGCACGAGGTCAGGAGATCGAGACCATCCTGGCCAACATGGTGAAATTCCGTCTCTACTAAAAATGGAAAAATTAGCTGGGCATGGTGGCAAGCGCCTGTAGTCCCAGCTACTCAGAAGGCTGAGGCAGGAGAATTGCTTGAACCTGAGAGGTAGGAGGCTGCAGTGAGCCGAGATCATGCCACTGCACTCCAGCCTGGTGCCTGGTGACGGAGCAAGACTCTGTCTCAAAAAAAAAAAAAAAAAAAAAAAAAAAAAGACCGGAATAGTATAAATAACTCTCATATATCCTCAATATCGAGATCCACTCATTATTTACATGTTACCCCATTTGCTTCATTTGCTCTCTCTTTCCCTAACCACTTGGGAGTCTTTACTTTCAGTTTAAAGTGTAATGAAATTATTTTTGTGCAAATTATGACATTGTATTGTCAAACTCTCAAAAGACGTTTGCGCTTGAGAGTATTTACTTTCAGTTTAAAGTGTAATGAAATTATTTTTGGACACATTATGGCATTGTAATGTCAAAATCTCAAAAGGTGTTTTTCTGCCTTTCTACATGCAAACTGTTTACAGTTTATGTCTTGGACTAGCTACAGATAGAAGTTGTGTGAAACCGGCAGGTCCAGGCACACCAAACCAGAGCTCTGATTCTGGAGGCTGGTGCTGCAGAACCTAGGGAGGATTTGTGGATGACTTAATGAGATCACAGGATATGAGTGCTTGTTCAAATCTTTTGCTTAATGGTTAAATATACAGGCTTTGAAGTGTCTGATGTGACCTTAGGGACAACTTATTTATTTATTTTTGTTTCTCAGTTACCTGATCTGTAAAATGGAATCAATATTACCTGTCCTCATGTTGTGAAGATCCTCTATGATAGTCAAACCAGGTGCATGTAAAGAATTGTTTAGGGGCCGGGCGGGTGGCTCACGCCTGTAATCCCAGCACTTTGGGAGGTCAAGGCGGGCTGATCCAGAGGTCAGGAGTTTGAGACCAGCCTGGCTAACATGGTGAACCCTGTCTCTACTAAAAATACAAAAATTAGCCGGGCATGGTGGCAGGTGCCTGTAATCCCAGATGCTCGGGAGCCTGAGGCAGGATACTCAATTGAACCTGGTAGGTAGAGATTGCAGTGAGCTGAGACCTTGCCATTGCACTCCAGCCTGGGTGACAGAGTGAGACTCCATCTCAAAAACTAAAACAAACAAACAAACAAACAACAAAAAGAATTGTTTAGCAGAGTCTGCCACACCGAAAGATGCCCAATAAATGTCAGCTTATCTTTGTTACAGAAGAAGAAATTGGGGTTCAGAGAGACTAAGTGGCTCACCTCTGGTCAGACAGTTAATTAGCTGCAGAGCCAGAACCCAGGTGTTGGGCTTTTTCTGTGAGGGGCTCCTGCCAGTTTGTATCATGACTAAAAGGCTTGAATAAGAAAGAGGCCAGCATAGGAACCTATGACATCGCAGGTGTGATTAGGGTAAGGAAAGACAGAGGTATTTATTGGGGAGGAAATGTGGCTTCTGCTCCTGTGGTCACACTGCAGAGTGAATGACACCTCTTAGCTATCCCAAAAGAATGGACTGAAACAGAGCTGCAAACCTACCCAGCAATCAGGGACCTCCTGCTGATCACCAGGAGGGAACCACCTATGAGGAAGTGGGTATAAGAATCGGGAATCTCCTTCCAACTCATCTTCCCAATGTGAGTGCCGGCTCCACACACAGGCGTCCCTGGACATTCCAGGATGGCACATTTCTTACCCTAGAATAATGATGTTCACACTCTCTGAAGACACATTTTTACTCCCAACAAGCCCCCTGCAGAAGTAGGAGCCGTTGTCTTTGGGTGTGGCTTTCGGAATGTAGAAGTCAGAATTCTGATGAAAATACTTCTTCCCTTTGCCATTCTGTAAATATGTGACCTTATGCAGAGGAGTGTTCTTCCAGCTGTGGCATCTCAAGTGAATACGGTCTCCCTCATTGTAAACCAACTGAGAGGCCTGGTCCTTGTACATCCAATGAGAGGCCTGGAGCACCAGCCAGCCTGAAAGACAAAGAGACACCCCAGGCCCAGGAGGCCTCAGCTCTTGGTGCAGAGCTTTGTGAAGGGGCCATGTACCACCCAGATCCTGGGACATAAGGGAAAGCCAGATTGGGAGCCAAACCTGCATAGCTCCCTTTGGGGAAGAGCTGATGGGTCCCTGCAAGAGAACTCAAGTCACACCTAGACCTTTGTCTAATGGGGAAGAGGGACACACACACATAAGATCAACCCAGAGCAGAGGGAGTAAGTGATGATGTTAAGTGAGAACCAGTGCCGAGCATGTCTGCAGGATCCTTAAGTGCTAGACTTAGATTTGCTGTGGCAGGTAATAAGGGTTCACAGCAAGTTCTAGATCAGAGTAAAACGTGCATTTGAAAATGATGATTTGCCCTATTAGAGAAAAGGTAGATTTCCAAAGGTATAGACAATTGAAGGAATATTGAAAGACTCTTGCAGCAGTCAGGAATAAGGTGATGATGGCCACGGAGTGGCTGCAGAAATTGTGAAGGAGAATTCAACGTAAACATCGGGAGGGGAAGGACATGGTAGTGCTCAGCGTGGCAACTGGTGGTTTCTGAGGTGTCACGGGGCCTCAGTGATACCATCTTTATTACTGAGCATGCCTTCAAGAGAGAAAATTCATATATCATCAGAGCTTTTTCTCACAATCATCAGATTTCCCAAAGAGAGGACATGAAGTCATGGTTGGGAGAGGACCTGAATAATTTTTAAAAAATGATATTGCAGATAAATATTATAATAGCATAAGAAAATATTCATGAGACAATGTTAAGTTAAAAAAGCATAATACTGAAAATACTTTAAAAAGTACTATGCACAGAATAAAAGAAGGATATGTACTTACGTATTAACAGGGGTTTTCTCTGAAGGAGTGGGACTGAAGGACATTTAAAATTTCCCCTGTTTACTTTTATATATTTTTGAAATTGACCCCAAATGACTTTTGTAATAAGAACAAAACAAAATTTACTGTCATTTTATTTTTTATTTTTTAAAATCTACATTCTCAGGTTGAATTACTATAATTTTAAAAATCTACTGCCTGATGCTAAACAAAATTGGTAGGACATGTGTTGGTCATGATTCTCTACCACAAAGATTTGCTAAACATAAAGTAATTTTTATTACCTATGAAGACATATCATTTATCAAAAGAAGCCATGTGCCTATCTATCCACTTTTTCAGCAGAGAGATGAATCATTATTAGCTTAATGTCATGGTTAGTATATAGTCTGGTGGCCTTTGGAAGAACATTCTTGGTCCAATCTTTCCTGTCATGGACTCAGTGAATGTCCATATAGATATTCCTTCAAGTGATATTTCATCAAGTACTCACTATGTATGGCACACTGTGTGGACTGGAGATACCTAGATGACTAGACATATGGTTCTCAGCCTTAAGTAATCTACAGTCTAGACACAGAAACACAAATATTCAGAAATAATCACAATACAATATCATGAGTGCTACAACAGGCCAAGAAGAAAGGACGGCAGGGACAGCTAGATTGGAATAAAGACATTCTGCCTGAAAGAAGTGAAAAATGCTTCTCAGGGGCTGGGCGCGGTGGCTCACGCCTGTAATCCCAGCACTCTGGGAGGCCGAGGCGGGTGGATCACGGGGTCAAGAGATCGAGACCATCCTGGTCAACATGGTGAAACCCCGTCTCTACCAAAAATACAAAAAATCAGTTGGGCATGGTGGCGCGTGCCTGTAATCCCAGCTACTCGGGAGGCTGAGGCAGGAGAATTGCCTGAACCCAGGAGGCAGAGGTTGCGGTGAGCCGAGATCGCGCCATTGCACACCAGCCTGGGTAACAAAAGTGAAACTCCGTCTCAAAAAAAAAAAAAAAAAAAAACCAAAAAATGCTTCTCAGAGGCAGACATAAATGAAATGGGTCCTAAAGAATGCTCAGAAGTTTACCTGGTGAAGCTAATTCTCATGGTCACAGTTTAATATAGCCTTGGTTTAATATAGCCTTGATTGGCTATACTTCTAAAGCCAATTTCTAGAGCCAAGTTCAAGGCAAACTAATAACTCCTAGAATTGATTTTTCTATTGCTTCCTCTTGGTAATTTCCCATTTTATTTGGTTGTAGGTGGACATCTCTTACCTAGCTAGAAATGGACATTCCTTCTTGTAGCTCTAGAGAGTGAAGACCGTGTGAGCTGGGTGGTACAGTCAGAGGCAAAAGAGCCACCACAATTAGTTTCAGAGGCTCAATTCCATGAAGCTCTCTTGCAGATCCACCTCTTTATGCCCTTCTTTTCCCAAGCCTTGTTCCACCCATAAACATCGTACGAATGGAGCCGTCATGGAAGTAGAGTTAGGTTTGCAGGTGACATTGCAGGGGCCAGTCTGTGTGGTAAGATTGCAGGGACACCAGGAAAGACCCCTGCCTTCAAAATATCTCTCCCACCTGTGTCTGATGTCTATATTCTGTTTTTGTTTTTTTTTTTTTTTGAGATGGAGTTTTGCTCTTGTTACCCAGGCTGGAGTGCAATGGTGCGATCTCGGCTCACCGCAACCTCCGCCTCCTGGGCTCAGGCAATTCTCCTGCCTCAGCCTCCCGAGTAGCTGGGATTATAGGCACGTGCCACCATGCCCAGCTAGCTTTTTGTATTTTTAGTAGAGACGGGGTTTCACCATGTTGACCAGGATGGTCTCGATCTCTCGACCTCGTGAGCCACCCGCCTCGGCCTCCCAAAGTGCTGGGATTACAGGCTTGAGCCACCGCGCCCGGCCGCTATATTCTGTTAATAGTACACAAAGACTTTCATTGCATGATTAATGTGCAGGCTGAGCATGTATATACCGCCATTGGAAGAGATATCACATTGCCAAATTTATGCTTAAGTATAAGTTTGAGTATGGCATTGATTGGGAAGTCTATGGTATTAAATATTTTTAGATTAAAAATAAAATAAAAAAGTAAAAATTATTTCTTTAAAAAAAAACGAGTATGGCATTGATGGGGAGAGAGAAACATATGATGCTAGGCTATTAGGATTGCTTTGGGAGGTAGCTTAGGGTATTACATGCCCAAGAGTGAGAAGGAGATTGAAGTTCTAAAACCAAATTCATTAACTTATTCAATAAATATTATTAGCGTGGTGGCTTATGCCTGTAATCCCAGCACTTTGGGAGGCTGAGGCAGTTGAATCACCTGAGGTCAGGCATTTGAGACCAGCCTGACCAACATGGTGAAACCCCATGTCTCCTAAAAATACAAAAATCAGCTGGGTGTGGTGGCAGGTGCCTGTAATTCCAGCTACTTGAGAAGCTGAGGCAGGAGAATTGTTAGAATCCAGGAGGCAGAGGTTGCAGTGAGCCGAGATCGTGTCATTGAATGCCAGCCTGAGTGACAGAGCGAGACTCCATCTCAAAATATAAAATAAATTAAAACAAATAAATAAATAAATATTACTGAGCATCTATGCCATGGCCTACCTTTCAGATGACACATTCACATTGTATGCATTTCATACAATTCCTGGAATATTGCAATGCAGCAGTCCTGTATCTACTGTCTGACAGGCTTTGACATTTTGCCTGCTTAGAGGACGACAACTCTGATACCACTCAGTGGGACCACAGATCATCTCATGTTAGCTTTCATCTCTAAGAATATCACCTCTGGCTCTTCCCAAGTATTTGAGGTCCCTTTTTTTCACCCTTTATTGGTGATTTTCCTCTTCCCCTTCACCAACTCACCAGTGTGGACTTCTAGCTGCACCGGGTCACTGCATGTGGAGAGGCGTGTCTGGCACATGTAATTTCCACTGTCGTTGACTGTGACAGAGGCAATGAAATAACTTGAGTCCTGGCTTGAGACGAGCTTCCCATCGTGAAACCACTGTGTGGAATTGTCCTCAGGAAGAGAGGTCCCCTGGCACTTCAGAGTCACACTGTCCTTCTCTAGTACCCTGTTCCATTGGGGCTCCAGGGACACCACAGCCTTTGGAAGATCTTCTGAGGAGCCAAGAAAATGTGGGGTGAGGACAGGGAGAGGAGCAGGCTCTACACTGGCATTCCCAGGGAGCCTCAAAGCCAAAATGAGCCCATTGTAAACCCACGCTTGCTCACTCAGTCTTAGAGCATCTTGGTCCCATTTTTGGCCTGTTCAGCATCTTGAGGAAAACTGGCCAGAGAAGCATAGGGCCAAGCCCTGCTGTGTTGGAGGAACTATCCCTGAGAACCCCACATCAGCATTTTCCCATGCAGCAAGCATTTCCCAATATCTTACGGCCATCATCCCCATGTGTGCCTCACAGAGTCAATCTGAGACCATGAGGCTGACTCACCAGCTCGCCTGCCAGCTGAAACTGCAAGAAAAAAGAGTGAATCAAATACTGAGTAAGAGCAAATACTGATTTTAAAACTCCCCAGCCCTCCCCTGCCAGGGAATCAGAATATTTCTGGTGGAAACCTTCCTGCTATCTGCTCTCTGGTTTGCAGTGTCTATGGCTCCTGCCCCACTGTCAACCCAAATCCCCATTTCAACACTGTTCCCTTTCCCCTTGCTCCCTGTGCAAACTCACAAATTAAGAGTACAGGTTGAATTTCCCTGAACCAAGCCACAGAAACAGCCTCAACCCACATCCCTACCAGAAAAGGAAGAAATTAACAATCATAGAGGAAAACCCTGAAATGTCAGATTGAAAGAGACAGACCCTATGGACCATCTAGTCCAAGCTCTTCAATTCCACATAGAGATTCTGAGACCCAGAGGGATCAAGTGGCCCACTCCTGAGCATGCACCAATCGGAACCAGCATGCTCCTCGTTTCTAGCCTCATTTTGGCTTGTCCTAGGAGCTCAATCCAGGGCTATAGATGTGGTGAGGGGTCCCATCCCTTGCTTGAAAAGAGGTCTCTGCTGAACCCAAGGCATTTAGAACTTCTCCCTCAACCAGTGAGACCCGTGACTTACCTAGAAGTAGCAGAGCGGTTGGGAGGAGCAGCTGCCACATGATGCCACACTGGAGCGAACAAGTCACTGCAGTTATCTGGAGCCCTAAAGGGACCAAGCTGACTAGACAGGAGGAAGTAAATAGCCTTTCCCCTAACCCCTTCACCCATCACCCACCAGCTTCCTTTTCTTGAAACAGTCATCTGACTTGTGAATCTGAAGTCTGGCAAGTGAGCCCCACCTTACGGCAGAAACAGGAAGGAAAGAGCCTGGAGGTGAGATGGGTGGGTCTGCCCTCTTCGCTCCCCAGAGGTCTGCAGCTGAGCATCTGGGGGCACATGCAGAATGTGCCAGAGAATACCCTGGATGATTGCCCCCATCTCCTGAGTTTGGATCCACTCGAGGAATATTCCCTGAGGGCTCTCTTCATTCTACCCCAGAACTTCTCACTCTCCTGCCTGGCCCAGGCTCGTCTCTCTCCAGCGGAGGGCCTGCCTGCAGAAAGTGGTCCTTTTGAATCTTCAGACCATTAGCCATGTCTCTTCCTCAGTATTATCTCTACCCATAGTTTCTTTCAAAATTCAAAATTCAAAATGCATATGCTCCGGGATATGTAATCCACAGGTGCCACTGACTTTTTAGGGTGATTTGATTATTAGATTCCCAGGCTAGAAGAAATCCAGGTAGGGGAAGAGAAATGGGCCCTGGGAGAGCGAGTCACCAGTGAAAGGCTGAAAGGGGCCGGACGTAGTGGCTCACGCCTGTAATCCCAGCATTTTGGGAGGCCGAGGCAGGCGGATCATTAGGTCAAGAGATCGAGACCATCCTGGCCAACATGGTGAAACCCTGTCTCTACTAAAAGTACAAAAAAAATTAGCTGGACATGGTGATGCACGCCTGCAGTCCCAGCTACTTGGGAGGCTGAGGCAGGAGAATTGCTCAAACCTGGGAGGCGGAGGTTGCAGTGAGCCGAGGTCAAGCCACTGCACTCCAGCCTGGCGCATGGAGATGGAGCGAGATTCTTGTCTCAAAAAAAAAAAAAAAAAAAAAAAGAAAAGAAAAAAAAGAAAGGCTGAAAGGATCGCAGAAAAGGTGGGGGTGGGGAGGGGCAAGGACAGCAACTCTTTACCTTCTCTGTTCCCTGGGTCCTGCAGAGCAACGCTAGTGCAGTTTAGCTCAGGTCCCTCGGGGCCACTGGATCTGGGCTGGTCTGTCAGCCTGGTAGCCAGGGCTCCAGGGCTCCTTATCATAAAAGATGGAGTGGGGTGGCCAGGAAGCAGGAGGGTTGTTAACCTCTTCTCTTCCCTCTAGATGCTCCCCCATACCCACACATTGTTTACTCTTACACTAGTGAGGGTCTCAGACAGAAAATCAGATGACTCTGCTTGATAGTGCCACTCTCCCAGGGGGTTCCTGGACATCTAGGACAGGTCTCATCCAGCTTAGAAAAGCACAGGAGGTGGGCAGCAGGCAGGTGTGGGCACCTGATGCTTGTCAGGGGTGGAATGGAGGCAGGGGCTGGCACAGGTGCCCGCTGACCTTTGCTTTGGACGAATGCTCTTTCTATACCAGAATCACATAAAAACCACTACCCAGGTTTTGTTTTTTGTTTGTGTGTTTTATTTAGCTTCTGGGTGGAGTTAATTGATTCTCCCATTGCCATCCACACACCCACTCCTCTCCTCTGACACAGAGTCTTGCAGCAGCCCCTCCTCCACAGGCCCTTGGATTAGATGCTGGCATGGACAAGGGTAATGAACCAGCAGCTGTTCTAGTGCTCCTTCTCGAGTGATTCATTTACATTTTGCAAAACCCAGAGAAGTATTTGGAAACTGAAAGCTCCTTGTTGTAACACTTCATAAGCTTATCTGGGAAACCTTAAGCAGAAACAATGCCTTCAGGGCTAAGGATGGCCTCTGAGGCAAAAGGTGGGTATCTCTCAATTCTCTCCTCTTTGCAGATATCCAAGTGGCTTTCTGCCACATGACCTCTGATGCAAGGCCTTCACTTTGTTTTCCCTCTTTGAGGTCTTATTTTCTTATCTGACTCCTCTTTTGTCTGTGGCTCTCCAATGAAGGGAGGAATTCTTAGCTGCCAAAAGGGTGGGCTAGATAGGAAGAAGAGGAGAGAGAGCACAGGAGGAGAGAGAGGGACCGAAACAGACTGGGAAGCTTTCAGGGGGCTTTCATCAAGTCGTTGTTGAACAATTTTGAGTGCTGTTGGAGTTGTAAGGTTTAATTTTACAGTGATGGATAAAATGCAAAATTTTGGCCTGTGGTGGCTTACTGTAATCCCAGCTCTTTGGAAGGCCAAGGTGAGGTGGAAGGGTTGCCTGAGGCCAGGAATTTGAGACCAGCCTAAGCAACATAGCAAGACCCTGTCTCTACCAAAATAGTCACAATAATAATAGCCGGATGGGGTGGTGCATGCCTGTAGTCCCAGCTACACAGGAAGCTGAGGCAGGAGGATCACTGGAGCCTGGGAGTTAGAGGCTACAGTGAGTTATGTTCATGCTACTGCACTCCAGCCTGGGCAACAGAGTGAGACCTTGACTCTTGGGGGAAAAAAATTAAAAAGCAAAATTTTTACAAAGGAGCGGATGGTCTTGAGATATCATATACTGAAGTGTTTGTCTTGTCTTCGTGTTTGCTTTTATTTCTTCTCTTTCCCTTTTTCTTCCCTCCCCTCCTCTTCTCTCTTTTTCTCATTGGAAGGCCAGGCACAGCAGAAGTTTCTGACTGCGGACGTCAGTTGATTGTCATCCCCTAGGACTTCTAGTTTCTTAGGGGGAGAACATCAGATAAGTAGCCGAAGTGCTAGAGGGACTGTGAGAGTATTTATGAAATGCTGTGCATGCACAAAGAAGACAGTGGCTAATTCTCTCTGGGGGAGGAGTGTGCATGGAAGAGAGAACACTTCAATTAGGTCACAAAAGATTCAGCAGGAAGATTTTTGAGGAAACAGGCATTCCAGGCCAGAGGAGCAGCATGAGCAAAGACTTGGAGTGAAACAGGCTGCTGTGTCTGCAGAGCTGGGCATAGTTCCAGAAGGGTAGTGAGGACAGAGGAGCACAGGCTCCAAAAGGGTTCAGATGTCTGGGTCTCACATGCGTCTGGGTGAAATCCTAACTCCATCACTTATTGAACCTTCTAGGCCTCAGTTTCCTTATCTGTAAAGTGAGGCTAACAATAACGGCACTCACGGCTTAAATGAGATGATGCAGATTAAATTATTGGTTCCATATTTGGTACCACACCTGCTGATTACTGCTGATTGTAAATGCAAGATGGGAGGTTGAGACCTTCCTCAGTTTTCTAAATTAGGTTGTGACCCCCACCCCCATCCCAACTCCTTTCGGAGCTCGTGCTTCTTCTTTGTAAACTCGTCGCATTTGTGGACTGAAAGGTCTTGGAGAGCAGGGAATCTATTCGCCTTGTTTACCAATGTACCCTCAACATTTAGCACAAGGGCAGACACGTATTAGGAACTCAATTAATATTTATCATGAAGAGTTTTGTATGTCAGGATAAACAGTACATATTTTATTCTAAAAGCTAATGGGAACTAATAAAAAGGCTTTAGGCTGGGGAGTCACAAGATCTGTTTTACATTTTATTTTATTTATTTATTTTTAAAAAGATGGGGTTTCACCACGTTGGTCAGGCTGGTCTTGAACTCCCGACCTCAGGTGATCTGCTTGCTTTGGCCACCAAAGTGCTTGGATTACAGGCGTGAGCCACCACGCCCGGCCTGTTTTACATTTTATAAAAATGACTCTGATAGCAGTCCAAGGAATGAGTTAGAGGGGAGAGAGATAGAAGGCAGAGGGAAAAGTTGGAAGATTATTTCAGCATTCTAGTTAAGAGACAAGAGCTACTCTGTTTAACAAGTGGATATGCAATGAAAGTGTCTAGGAGAGAAGTTAGGAAGGAGGAATGCACAAGACTTGGTGAATGATTGGCTATGGGGGGTAACGAAGAGGGAGAGGTCTGGGTGATGCTCAGATTTCTAATTTGGGTGATAAGGAGGATGGCAGTACCTTTCATGGACAAAAGAAAAATGGGAAGATGAGCAGGCTTTGGGAGGGAAAGTGATCTCAGCTTTTAATGTTATTGAGTTTGAGGTAGCTGTAAAGATTTCAGGTGAAGATGGCAGTGAGACACATAGCCCTGGAACTCAGAAGACAGGTCTTGACAAAAGACACAATTTAGGAGACACCAACACGGTTGAGGTTTCAAACTTCTGACAAAAGCTTTGGGCCCTCTCCCAAGAAAGGATGTGAGTATACAAATTATGTTTCCTATAATTTAAGAAGCTGTATCTGAACCCGTCCAGAGATCCTAGGTTAAGATGAAGTATAGATAAGGTCTCTCCAACTGTAAGAGTATTAAGTGAGAAATAAAGGGGGACAGTGAGGGAAAGGAAGGAGGGATTGAGAGGAAGAGGAGAAGAGGAGAGAGTCAGTAACAGAAACTTGGTATGCAAAAATTTTGGAAGTGTGCCCAAGAAAAATAGCTGACAAAGGATTTTGGGTAGGCGGAGCTGAAGAAGTGAGAACAAGGAAGTTTAATGGGAACAGATCTTCAAGGAGGGCATAGACAACAGTAACATTACTAACGTTGCAGAAAAAAATTCAAACAAGAGTTTGACTGAAATATGGCAATTGCCACATTGAAACGTGGCAATCAAGGAATTGTTAATTACCTTTGCCTCAGCAATTTCAGGGGTCGGGGCTGAGAAACAGACGCTTAACAGCTTTTGATTGAAGACGGAGCAGGAATGAAAAGTGTTGAATGAAGTACTTCTCCTCTTCAGAATCTCCATTATGAAGGAATAGTGCACACGTCCTGGCTGTCCGGGATCTCCTCCTCCCCTTCTTATTAGCATCTCATTCTCCCCTGGAGAAGCCTCACTGTGAGCACTTAATAGAAAGCAGTGATTGCTTTCTACTACGGAACCCCAAGGGTCCAGATCTTCCTTTCCCCATCTTGGGGCACCATTGTGGACTAAACTGTGTCTCTCTCCCAGTTCATATGTTGAAGTCCACATGTGGAACCCCCTACACCTCAGGATGTGACTATATATGGAGACAGAGCCTTTAAAGAGGTAATTAAGTTAAAATAAAATCATTAGGCAGACTCTAATCCAATATGAGTAGTGTCCTTACAAATTGCGACACAGACACATACAGGGACAGGACGGATACCTCCAAGCCAAGGAGAGAGGTCTCAGAAGAAACTAACCCTGTGGACTCAAAGGGTAACAACAGACACGCTGGGACCTACTTGAGGGTGGAGGGTAGGAACAGGGAGAGGATCAGAAAAAGTAACTGTTGAGTATTAGGCTTAGTACCTGGGTGATGAAATAATGTGTACAACAAATCCCCATGATAGGAGTT